GAGGGAGAGGTAGGGGCATGCTCGTGGGTTGGAGCGGGAGGCGGGGGCATGCTTGTGCAGCTCTCCTGGAGGCCAGAGAACCACGTCTAGAATCTTCCTCTATCACTCTCCACCCCTTGTTTGTTTATTTGTTTGAGGCAGGGCCTCTCACTGAACTGAGAGCTTATAATTAGCTAGACTGACTGGCCAGGGCCCTCCCATCTCCTCCTCCTAACACTGGAGAGGTGCCATTCATTTAAAATAAGATGTTATATATAAAATGCTTTAAGTAAGTCTTGTCATAACCAAAAACATTAAGTGTCTGGGACAAACAGAAAACATAAAGAGAAATATAAATAAGAAGCAATCAAGGGATATGATTACCACCAACATTATACGTGCACACACATAAATTAATTAATTAATTAATAAAATAATAACGTCATATAAGTCTCTTCTAGCCAGTTACTGGAGGGGAATTTTCTCTACACCTCTGGAGATACAGATAACGAACTGTAGAGTGGCTCAAATACTGACCCCATGGAACTGAACCAAATCTTCTCCCACTCTCTGTAACATTTGCCTTCATCCGCTCTGTTAGCTTTTCCTTCTCACACATCTGTAATGAACCTCATCCTCTGAAGTTTTGCCACATCAGCTCTGTGTCTCATTTATTGCAGAAGCTGGGTCTAAGAAGAATGGGCCAGCGGTCCCTTCAGACATGTAACTAAGGCTGACAGCTCAAGCCAGATTCCCATCCGGCACAGTGGAGCTGCCCCTCTCGCAGCCCCTCGTCATTCCCAGAAATCCAAGGAAGAAGCACAGCCTTGCTTGATACACTTGTGCTAAGAGCTCTGAGAACAAGGGAGATGTTAAAATGTCCATGGGAAGAATAAGGCAGTGCGGACATTTGGCAGGAGCCAAGAAAAGCAGCCCTGAGCCCTGGGGACTTCTGGGCAGCTATCCCAGGGTATGAGCGCATGAAGCCTTGAAAGCAAGCACCAGGGACTTTTTTTTCTCTTATCAAAGGCAATATTGGTTTCATCTGGCTACACCATCCCTTAAGGCAGCTATGCTTCCTGGACACTTGGACAACCAGATTTTACAACCTTTACTGAACTTGCCCTGATACAGAATGTGATTGATGATTGATTGGTTGGTTGGTTGGTTGGTTGGTTGGTTGGTTGGTTGATTGGTTGGTTTGCCTTGTACCTGAGCAATGTTCTGTGTGGCCAGTTAGATTCTTCAGCTTGGGCTTGGGTTTTCAGTCTGAAGTCGCCTCTCAGTGATCATAGGTTCTCAAGGATCCTGAAACTGTACTCTGAACCAAGTCTTTTTAAAATATTCTTTTATTTACTCTTCGAGAACTTCATACATGTTTACCATTTGGCCAAACGCATCCCTTACTCCACCTCCTCCAGCTCCCACCAGAGCCACACTACTCATCTTTCTCCTAGCTTCAGGCACTGTCTTCTTTTAACCTCCTGAGTACATTTACTGCCTCCAGCATGTGCATGGGTGGAGGGCTATCCAATGTAGCATGGGCAACCTACCAGGGGTCACCTCCCCAGAGAAAATGACTGCACCCCCAGCAGTAATCCCTAGTAGTTCCCTGGGTGGGACAGAGCTGTGTCATCCCCTCTTCCCTCCATGCTAGACTTTTGACTGGCTTAATTGTGTGTAAATCTTGTGCCTGCAACCTTAGATGCTGCAAGGCTTATCCTAATACACAGGTCTGCAGGAACGTAACTGGAGAATGGAATGTTCTGGATGCGGCCTAAAGGCAGGACATATGTTCAGTTTTATCATAACTAGAGGAAAGGCTATGTAAGGTTCTCAGTTCCTATGAGTTAAAAACCCAGTGTTCTGAAGAAGCCAGAAGCAATGATGGAAGTCATTTCTCCTCTTCTTCACAGACATCCCCCACCTGGTACTCTGTGGGGCTGAGCGGCACCCTAGAGCAGCCCCATTCAGTGGCCTACCCAGATCGGTTGAGGGAGGTTCCCCTGCCACCTTCCAGATAATCCAGGCTCTGGGATCTCCTCATCAGATGTGAGAAGGTAGCAACTTTCATGACTAATCTCTCTTCTGATACATGTATGCTCTTGCTAATAGGTACAAGTCGAGCAGAGACATGGGGAGCACATATCAGCTCTTCCTCACACCCAACATCTCCCAGGATTCCAAAGGATTGAGGGCGTGTGTCAACGAACATCCTCTAGGCCAGCGGTTCTCAGCCTTCCTAACGCTGCCACTTTTAGTACAGTTCCTCATGTTGCAGTGACCTCCAACTATAAAATTGTTTCCGTTGCTCCTTCATAACTGTAATTTTGCTACTGTTATGACTCGTAATGTAAATATCTGTGTTTTCCGATGGTCTTGGGTGACCCTTGTGAAAGGGCCATTCAATGCTTCCCCAAAGGGGTCTCAACTCACATGTTGAGAACCACTTCTCTAGGCCATGGCTGGTCTAGGTTGTTCATTACTTTTGTTAACTGATAAATCTCCACATGTGGTAGTGAATATCTGTAACACTAGCACTAAAATCCCTGAGGCAGAAGAATTGGGAGTTCAAGGCCAGCCCAGGCACATTGCAAAACCTGGTCCCCAAAAACGAACTAAGATCTTACATAGTCAAAGGACACACAGACATTGTGCAATGTTTAAGTCAGATTAAATATTCAAATTCACAAACATTTATCATCTTTTTTTAGTGAAAACTTTGTTTCACTTTGTTTGATTCACTGAGACCGGCCTCCAACTCTTGATCCTCCTTCCTCGATGCCTGAATGCTGGGATTAGAGGCGTGGCCCATCCTGCCCAGCTGGTGAAACATTTAAAACTCTTTTCTTGCTTTTTAAGAAAATCTACAGTGTATTATTGTTATTTCTAGCCAATCTAGCATGCAATAACACACCAGAACTTCTTGTGTCTAACTAGAACCCTGTTCCCAGGGAGTGGATGGCCCACAGCCCTCTCTGCCTGTCCACCTCCTTTGGGAAACCACCATTCTGCTCTCAACTTATGTGGGGTCAATGTTTTCAACTCAAGATCACATGGTACTCCTCTTTCTTAATTCACTTTACAGAATCTCCAGTTTCACTCATGTTGGGGGTGGTTAATATTAAATATAGGCACCCCATTTTCTTTGTCCATTCATCAGTTGATAGACATATAAGTTGTTTCAATTTCCTAGATATTGTGAAGCGTTTTCACAATTAATATAGAGGTTTGGTTGTCTTTTTGACATGCTGATTTTATTTCCTTTTTAATAAATTCTCACTAGGCTCTTTCTGGATCACAAGATAATTCTCTTTCAATTTCTGAAAGACCCTCCTTGCTATTGCCCATGATGTTTCTACCAATTTACACTCCAGCCAACAGTGTACAGATGTTCCCCTTTTTCCTTGCCCTCCCCAGCAGTGGTCACCTTTAGTCTTTCTGTAGCAGCCATTCTTATTGGCCCCAGATATGCACCTCCAATATTCATTAGTATTTCTAGGCCATTAGTGATGCTGAGAAAGACTGTTTTTTATAAAAAGCATCTTTTCTTTCTGTTATACTGTTATCCATCATTCTTCAGAAGCTGGTCTAGCGTGTGAATTCAAAACAAAGACATGATTTTAGGTTTGTTGACTAACAAGTACACATGTAGAACACAGCTCCAGCAGCAATTGCTCTCCCCAGGCAAGCCCCTTCAACCCCTCTGAGCCTTAATTTTGCATCTCTAAAAGAATGGCCAAGCCTCTTTCCTGTATTCATGGACAGCAGATGCTTGGGATGAGACTGAAACTCTGTGAGACCAGAAGTCCAATGAGAGGTGCTCTCATGGCAAAGAATCATTCCTTGGAAGAGACATCTCACCACTGGCCACCAAAACATATCGATGCAAAACCCACTGTGGTCTCACTCGGGAGTTTAACTCCAAGTAGAGACCAGAGCAATATTTTCTCAGCAAATGTCCGAGAAGACATTTGGAGGCCTCTGAAGGAGAAAGAAAAGATGGCCACTACAGTGGATTATTTAATAATAATAATGAGTACTTACGGTACACCAGCACGTGTGCCAGCAAGATGGCTGAGCTGGCCTCACCACTGGAGCTCCATCCCTAGAACTCACGTAAAGGTAAAAGGAGACAACTCCACAACATTGTTCTTTGACTTCCACATGCACACTGCACACACACACACACACACACACACACACACACAGCACGGGAACATGTGCACTCATATTTTTTAAATAAAGTATACCAGCATGAACACATTTTTCATTTTATTCTCATATCCTCAAAAGGAGGAAATCCTTCCTACGATGCACCTGGCTCTGGAGAAAGATGCAGCTGGAGCTGAGATGCTAAATAAAGTCTTCAAGAGAGTAGTCCTTCAAGACAGAGTGTAACCCATAAAACTGCACTCTGCTGACATCTTACAGACTGAAGAGTGTGGGCCGCTTGGCCGCAAGCCTACCTCCAAGGGCAGAATAAAATCAAAGTTACTGTCAGTCATTCATCACTGGCCCCGGGCAGAGCAAAGCTAATGGCTCGTATCAAGGGCCACATTTTTAGCTCCAGGGACGTCTTGTCCAGTTCCTCTTCTGAGTCTAGGCATCCAACCATGAACCCAGAACAGGACTGGCCCTCCCGTGGGAAAGCAGCAAGACTTCCAACTCGGCCATTCCAAAATGGGAGCTTCTACCCTGACCCCTGAGGTCCTCACACAGTGATTGGTATCTCAAGCCAACCATTTGGAAAAGGAAGTGCACCTGGGAACTTTGCTTCATCTACATTGGTCTCTGGACAGGGGAGTAAGTGAGGACCCTTCCCTTCTCTACTGCATGAGTAATAATCAATGATTCTACTCTTGGTCAAGCCCTGTTGACATGTTAAGACCCTTTTGTTTCCTAAAACACTGTGAGCACTTCTTACCTTTATTCTACCCAGTCTTGAATTACCTGTACTCAGGAATGGTGTTTCTGGGACCCTGGGCTTTCGGTGTGACTTGAAGGCAAACGTTGCACCCATTTTTTTTCCCTGAATTTTCAAGAGATGAGGGGGAAGGTACTTAGGTCTGACGTGGGGTGTCCTGCTCTGCTGGTGGAGACACTCTGCCCTTGGCTGAGTGCCTTCACATCATGTGGTTTGCAGAAATAAAGGTAGCGCTGAATGGCACGGGTTCTCCTCTTCTTCTGAACCCTGTAGGAACTGTGATCTTCCCAGAAGAGGGAGCCAGAATCCAGCCCCACCTCACCCAGAACATCTCTATAAAGGAAGCTTCCTGACGGCTAACTGGGCAGTTTCTGCTCTGCATTCTCCACAACCATGCACCTGCATCTTTCAGGGCTACTCTTCTTCCTGGTGATCTCACTGCCTGCAGGTAGGAGGTGAACTGTCTGTCTGAATATGTAAAGGTCTCCTAAGGGCTCAGATCCTAAAATTCAAATAAATTAGCAAGCAAGCAAACAACCAAATAAATAACATAAGCCCAGCACGGAAAGTTCCACCCATAAGAGATGAGCTGGTAGGTTAGGCCTAGGATGTGGGTAAGGAGTATCAGGGTGTCATTCTCTGTACGAGTTATCTTGCACTATTTCCTGAAGACCCCCAGGATCTTTAAAGAGGGAAGCCCATTTCATGATGCGTGCACCCCTGTTCAGTCACCAAATTCCTATCTCCTCTAAATTGTGCTTTTGTTTGTTGAGACAGGATCTCTCTATGTAGCCCTGGTTTTTCTGGAACTCACTCTGTAGACCAGGCTGGCCTTGAGCTCCCAGAACCTGCCTCTGCCTCTAGGGTGCTGGGATTAAAAGTGTGTGCCACCATGCCCGCTTGTTGTGGACCTAGACTCTACAGTCTCCACGAGATAGGAAGGGAAGCCAGAGGACGAGTCTGGAAAGGGGAATCAACAGATACCAAACCCTCCACCAGCAGGAAAAAAAAAAAAAAAAAAAAAAAAAAAAAAAGAGACTGCCTTTGCTCCACACCTCCCAAACACTGATTTGTCTTTTTCTCTATTCCTTCAGGTAACTGTGCAATCGGGAATAAAGGTGTAGAATTTCAAACGTGTACCGCAGTCAACGGCATTTGTTTCTTTGGCTGTCGGCCAGGATGGATATGGGTCAGCTACTGTAACAACCTAATGTCCTGCTGTAGAAAGGACAATGAATTTGTACTTCCTCAATCCAAAGGTAGACGACCTATGTATGCTTCCCAGCTCTAATTAAAGAGCTATGTGAATGAATAAAGAGTTCCCAATCTGTCTCCAAGGCCCAAGAGCTCATTAAGAGAGGTTGTGGGTGGCAGACGGGGATCACACTGTCAGATCTGCGATTTACTAGGTTCCAAATGTTCCTTGTAAAAAGCATTGCAGTGAACGGCACTTCCTGGTCTTTCTTTCTTGTCTTAAATCATAAATCCCTGCTTGGGACTGGAGATATGGCTCAGTGCACCAGCTGCTCTTCCAGAGGACCCGGGTTCGATTTCCAGCACCCACATGGTAGCTCACAACCATCTGTAACTCCAGTTCCTGGGGATCTGATGCTCTCTTCTGGCCTTTGCAGGCGCTTCATATATGTGGTACACTGATAGATACCACATATATAAAGTTCAATTAAACTTAAACAAAAATAATAAAGTCCATACAAGTCCACAGACCCAAGGAAAGGACATTCTCTGAGTGTAGAAACAATAGCTGCCACGGTGCTATCGGTCTTTAAACTGTTTTTGCATATATCAAACTACTTACCCCTCAAAACAAAAATCCTATTTCTTCAAATGATAATTTTTCCCCAAGATCACACAAGTAGTAAATTAGTTTGTCCTACATTTGAACCCAGCCCATTTTCACTTGCTTCTTTTTCTTGTTATCATCATCATCAATTTCTCCAAGGAAGAGCACACCAATTGATTATCCAATACCAAATGGTCAGGCCTGGAAAACATATACATACAAGTAATATACAAACTGAACAGGTGTGATTACTTTAAAGGGACCAAACATTGGTCTGTTGCCTGTGTGGAGTCCTGGAGTGCCTTCCAGGTTCATCCTTCCCCTTGATGAGGGAATGACCACGAGCAGCCATAAATACCCAAACCAGATGATTACAAGTTCAGCAGCTACCAATCCCTGTAAATACCAGAATGTTCCATCTTCCCACGAGTCCTGCCGTTCTGAAGTCCTAATGGCTACGGCTCTTTTCCAGCTCCTGACTTGTATGGAAACTCCACTAAGCATGTTTTACAGATGACGGCTCCTTGTCGCCACCATGTGGCAGCTGTCGTCCATTTTACTTCCTCTCAGTCTTGGCACACCAGGTTCCAGTCCACGGTGGGCGTGCTGGAGAATTCCAAGGCTTTTCTAAGGTCTCAACTGTCGGTTGCTTTCTTTCCTTTGGTCAAAAGCAGCACAGAGCAAAGTCTGCAGTCAGAATTCAGTAACAGAATAGACTTTGCTAGAGAAAGTTCTAGAGACTCATTGCATAACCATGTCTACCCTTAAAATGGCACTGAACTGTACCGCTAAAAGGAACTGGGAGGGAGCCTTGCGGTATGGCTCTTTGGGTGAAGGTGCCTGATGCTATACCTGACTAACTGAGCTTTATCCCCAAAACCCACATGCACTTGCACCTGTCTGCATGTGTAAACACACACACATACAATACACACACACCACACACACATGCCACATCTGTCTGAATACCAGTGAAAAACTGAATTCAGAGAGGGAAGAGACTTGTCGGTTACACTTCTGGTGATGGACCACAATTAAGAATTGTTTTATCACTTGGAGGCAGATGCAGGCGGATCTCTGTGAGTTCGAGACCAGCCTGGTCTACAAGAGCTAGTTCCAGGCTCCAAAACCACAGAGAAACCCTGTCTCAAAAAAAAAAAAAAACAAAAAACAAGAATTGTTTTATCTCTTCCGATCTTTGTTGTTTGGGAAAATGGACACTTGGGTAAGACTAAAAAGAACATAGATAAAAAGTCAACGCAATCCACCATTGACCCCTTCCCCCCTGAGGCAGAGCTGGTCTTTGAAAGTTCTGGGGTTCCCTCAGCCCTGGAGGTTTGGGTAGGAAGGCCAACTGCTAGTTTTTGCTTCTGTCAGCAGGAGGCGCAAGCACAGGCTTCAGGCTTCTTCCCACTTCCCACCTGAAGTTTGTAAGATCCGAACAGAGCTAAAAAAGCATGATCTTGGATACAAACTTCACAGCAATAAAGGGAGGAGAGGAATGGGGATGGTGAGAGAGGGTTTACTAATACTGGTTATGAAGACAGAATCCATTTCTGGCTGTATATGGTCATGAAGACCCTTAGCAAAAGTAATGCTTTGATTGGAGTTTTATTTTAATTGCACATGAATGTAGACTTGAAACCCATCTGTCTGGACTCAATTCCTTGTCGCTCTTTGTTGAGGGACATTAGAAAAGGTGCTTACCAAACTCTAGATGCCTGTCTGTAGATGGGAAACAATAGCCACGGAACAGACACATGTAAGTTGATACCCAGAGACATTGAGTGAGACCGAATGTGTCCACTAGAACCCAGGCTGGCCTCGAACTCATGATCCTCCTGCCTCTGTCGCCTTCAGCAAATCCTACCGGCGTGTGCCACCACAACTGTCACCGTGGTGGTGCAAACCTTTAATCCCAGCACTCTGGAGGCAGAGGATCTCTGTGAGTTTGAGGCCAGCCTGGTCTAAAGAGTTTGAGTTCCAGGACAGCTAGGGCTGTTACATGGAGAAACTCTGGGAAAAAAAAAAAAAAGAAAGAAAGAAAGAAAGAAAGAAAGAAGGAAACCTTCGGAGAAGGAATCCAAAAAGGATGTACACATGGAAAGGCAAAGATATTGGAATGCAGCAGCTGTGCTGCCCCTTCCTGTCAATTTAGCAATCGCATGTAATCCCTCCCACTACACCTTCTGACGATGAGGAGTGAGCCTGAGCTCTTTGAACCCCTTCTAGACATCGGAGCCCATTATCCAGACTTAACAAAGGGAGGCGGTAACAACAAATGACCCGAAACATTGTCAAGTGGGAAAGGAAAATCAAGGATCGCCCCGTAATTAGGGCCAGGGACACTGGCCAGCTCTCTGCACCTAAGGCTGGAGGTTCATTGCACGCACTGCCCTGGACTAAACTCAAAATGAAGCAGCGGTAGGGAGTTACAAAGAGGGAGCTGGAGGGTTACTTTATCACTGTCTCACCTGAAATAAAATACAAATGTCATTAAAAATAATCATAGATGACATCAGAGGAACCATTTCTTCACGGAAAATTCAAAAAGGAAAATAACCAGGAAACAACAGATAATAAATTTTTAGAAGTTGGATTGATAGTTTCAAGTAAAACCTTTCAAATGTTAATGAAAACCCTTGAGAGTCCTTCTACAAAGATATGGTGTGCGTGTGTGTGTGTGTGTGTGTGTGTGTGTGCACGTGTATACACAATAGCCCATGTGTGGAAGTCAGAAGTCAGTTTTGTACATCTTTTTTTTCCATTCTATCTCTTTGTGCACATAGGTTCTAGGGGTGGAACAGAGGTGACCCCTGAGCCATCTCAGTAGCCCAATATTGGGGTGTTATTATACTGGCGCACACCCAAGCTAAGAACGGCTTCTGCTACTCACAACAGCACAGCCCTGCAGGCAACCTCCCAGACAAAACAATGAGGAAGAGAAGTTAGGACAGGGACCCACTGGCTCCCACTCACTTGGACTTAAGGAGCACAGCACTGTCAGAAGTAGGGGAGTAGCTGTCTCTGGTGGGTGATGAGGGGGATGAAGAATTCTGAGAACACTCTGGGAACATGTGTGTGGACATGGGCATAGGCTGGCACATGTTGACATCTAAGTAGCACTAGGAAGTGGTTCACATCGCTCCAGAAAAATAATGGCGCTAATAGCCAAGCTTTCCTAGGTGGCGGCCTCCGAAAATCCGAGAAGCTGGAGAGGCCGCCTAGGATAATGGCAAACACCAGAAGTTTTGCAGAATAAAGCAGACTTCAGATGTCTGGGGGGGGGGGGGGAGCATAATGGTCCCCTCTGCCTGTTGTAGGCTAGTTCAGGGTCCACGCGTACCAACTAGACCCCAATCCCGCGAGGAAACAACGGAAGAGGAGGGCTCAGCCCCTCAACTGTGCTCCCATTTCTCTTCCAGACTTCCCAACAAAGCACGGGCTGCCTCGCGTTCCCTGACCTCGGGAGTCCCCGTACCCTCTCATCACCCCCGCCCCCCGCATGAGGCACTGTCCAGACAAGACCCAGGCTGTCCACCCTGTGGCGCCAGCAAGGGGACAGCAGACAGCATGGCCCCTGCTCCCACCACCTCCCGTCCCCTGCCACCATAACAAATGACCTCATCTGAGGATCCGGTTCCTATCAGCCATGTCGCTCCAGGCCAGCAGAGGGAGCATCGGGAGGAACAGAGACGGCACTGGGCTCTGGTTACTTTGGCGCAAATCTGCTTCTGCCAAGCGTCAGCTGCAGCCTTCAAATCAGAGGCACCTCAGTCTTGTTCATGGGTGTTAGACACTGGGGGAGCTCAGCTCCTGCACGCAGAGCTCTCTCAGCCACCTTCCTTTGTGCCAGCCTTGGGTACACACAGACATAAAGGAAAGCCACCACACAAATAGCCACTGGACAGAGGAGGCTGTGTGTGTGTGTGTGTGTGTGTGTGTGTGTGTGTGTGTGTGTGTGTGTGTGATTATACACATGCTCATGACTCTGACATTTTCTGACATTTTGTTGTTATTGTGGTTTGGGTTTTGATTTTTTTTTTTTTGCATGGATACTGGGGCTCTGAATCAGGGAACCACTTCCTAAATATAACCTCAGTAGCACAGACACTGAGAGAAACAATTAATAAATGGAACCTCCTGAAACTGAAAAGCTTCTGTAAAGCAAAGAACATGGTCAACAAGACAAAATGACAGCCTACAGAATTGGAAAAGATGTTCACTAACCCCACATCAGAGAGAGGTCTGATCTCCAAAATACACAAAGAACTCAAGAAATTGGTCATCAAAAGAACAAATAATCCAATTTAAAAATAGAGAAATCTCCACAGAGGAATCTAAAATGGATGAGAAAGACACTTAAGGACATGTTCAACCTCCTTAGTTATCAGAGAAATGCAAATCAAAACAACTCTGAGATTCCATCTTACACCTGAAAGAATGGCCAAGATAAAAAACACTGATGACAACTTATGCTGAAGAGGTTGTGGGGAAAAGGGAACACTTCTGCATTGCTGGTGGGAATGCAAGCTGGTACAACCCCTTTGGATGTCAGTGTAGCGATTTCTCAGAAAATTAAGAAACAACCTTCCTCAAGACCCAGTAATACCACTTTTGGGTATATAACCAAAGGATGCTCAATTATACCACAAGGACATGTGCTCAACTATGTTCATAGCAGCATTGTTTGTCATAGCCAGAACCTGGAAACAACCTAAATGCCCCTCAACTGAAGAATGAAAAAGGAAAATGTGGTACATTTACACAGTGGAGTACTACACAGCAGAAGAAAATAACAACATCTTGAAATTTTCAGGCAAATGGATGGAGCTAGAAAACATCACTTTGAATGAGGTAACCAGACCCAGAAAGACAATTATCATATATACTTACTCATAAGTGGTTTTTAAACATAAAGCAAAGAAAACCAGCCTACAAACCACAATCCCAGAGAATTTAGACAACAATCAGGACCCTAAGAGAGACATACATAGATCTAATCTACATGGGAAGTAGAAAAAGACAAGATCTCCTGAGTAAATTGGGAGCACAGGAACCATGGGAGAGGGTTGAAGGGGAGGGGAGAGGCAGGGAGGGGAGCAGAGAAAAATGTAGATAGAGCTCAAAAAATCAATTTAAAAAAATTAAAAGGATGGTGTTCGTGACGTTGCTCACACAGGTGCAGGCTCTAGAGCCTTCCACAGTATGTGACCTTAAGCGTAGTTGTATATAACCTTTCTAGATCTTGGTGTGGAATCTACCAAGGGGGGTGCAGCTGTTCTCCTCTCCAAGCCCTTGTAAGAATCAAGTGAACAACAATATCAGTGCTCATGCTCCGCATGAAGGAAGCAGTCCACAAATGTGCAACATGTTTGTTACCAGGGTCCCTCTAGCGGCGACCTGGGAAGGTGGTCACCTCTACCTGGCTTCTCTATCCCCATCAGTCTGAACGAGCCACCTGTAGAGTGTGTGAACAGGGGCTCAGTGACCTTCCCAAAGGCAGCTGGAGTTCCCATATGCTGGATCGCAGGACACCCACTGGCCTTTCTACGCCTACCCAGGACAGCACACATTGTGATTATGTGTGCACTGCAAGCACCTGCCTTCAGAATGATTAGCTGAGGGCCGGGATTGTAGCTCAGGTGGTAGAGTGGTTGCCTTGCAGGCGTGAAGCCTTGGGCTCCATTCCCAACACAGCATAAACCGACTACGGTGGTGCTCAGCTTTTATAATCCTAGCACTCAGGAGATGGAGGCAGGAGCATCAAAACACCAAGATTCTCCTTAACCACGTAGTGAGTCCAAGGCCAGCCGGGGAGACAGGAGACTTTTTACCTCAAAAAGGAGGAGGAGGGGAACACGAGGAAAGAAGAGAAGAGGAGGAGGAAGAGGAGAGGAAGCAACCATTGGGCGAGGAGTGGATTTTGTTCAGCATCAGAAAACACCTGTGTTAGGTCACCCCTTCCCCCGGAGGACAGCAGGCGAAGGAAGTTCCTTGGAAGCTGCCCCAAGTAAACAATGTCCTTGTACCTCTGCAGAGGCTCCAGCCCAGAAACACCTCTTCTCAACAAATGTCCGCACAACGGGACAGATGGTCAGACACTAACTAACCTGAGACAGAAGGGCCTTGGAGGCTCACCGTCTCCCCCGGACCCCACATTCCCACAGTGCTCCCGAATGCCTGCAGGAGCTTTGTTCTGGGATTTTGTTAGACTTCTCTCCTTCCATACCCTGACTTCAGCAGGTACCACCTCCCACCACTCGTGTGGGAAAGATGCTGGCTGAGAACATTGAGAAAGGAGGGTCGGTGATCCGTCGAGGACACACAGCTACCGCACAAACTAAGTTTTCTGCTCGTATAAAAACATAATGGTTTGATTTAAAAAAAAAAAAAACAAAGACCTTTAATGTCCACCCACCATTACTCATCAGTGTGTATCTTGGGAGGCACTCTGTTAGAATGCCAGATTTCCAAAATTGCTATTTGAATTGCTGACTTGGGTTTCGTTTAAAAAAAAAAAAATAGTGGGTGTCTTAGTCAGCATTCTGTTGCCGTGAAGAGACACCACGACCAGGGCAACTCTTAGAAAGACAAACATTTAATTGGGATGGCTCACAGCCTTAGAGGCTTCATCTACTATCAGCATGGCATAAACAGCTACCCCGCAGGCAGACATGGTGCTGGAGGAACTGAGAGTTAGTTCTACACAAGGATACACAGGTAGCAGGAAGAGAGAGACACTGAGCACACTTCCTCCAACAAGACAACACCCACACAAACAAGGTCCTACCTCCCTAATCTTTTCAAATAGTGCTTATAGGCCTATGGGGCCATTTTCTTTCAAGCCACCACACTGGGCGAACAAGATGGTTCGGTGAGTAAAGGCATTTGCAAACAAGACTGATAGCCTGAGTTTGAATCCTAGGTCCCACAAGGTAGAAGGAGAGAACAGGTTCCAGCAAGTAGTCCTAGCACACATGCCGTAGTGCATGCACACACACACACACGCACGCGCGCGCGCACACACACGACAGCTGTGCCACAGCTTCTGTAGACCAGCCCTCTTCTGCTGCTTGAGCAGCTCCAGCCCCTCCCCCAGGAGGCCCACAGCAACCGACTGGTCCAAAGCAACTACATGTGACTGGAAGACAGTGATTTAAAAACGCAGACACTTCAGAAGAGATGCAACAGGATTCAAGACACAGAACACCAGACTTTTTATCTCTTTCTACCTGGGTGGTCACTGTTCTGCTCAAATCTGGCTAAAAGCACCGACTGTGCCAAACAACCAGTGATCCACACCAAAGCAAGGTCTGCGTCCTAAATTCCACACACCTGTGACTGGATCGCCAGTCTTGCTAAGGGAGCAGCTCATTTTGAATCTGTTGTGTTTTAGATAGGGCATCATTCTCTATATGAGTTTGTTGTTATAATTAGCAAGCTCACATCCATTTGTATTCATTTTCTAGTCCATACTTCTGTGCCCACCCCCACCCCTTAGGCCATTTATTTTAAAGAGTAAATCTGTTGGAGATGTAAATGAATAAATAAAAATAAAATGAAATCGAAAGAGATCACCAAGTGAATTTTGTCTCCAGGTTAGAACAGAATTTCTCACGGCCTCTGAAACAGCCCTAAACACGTTTCTGCCACTTTGTGCCATGTACTTAGGAGAAACAGTCTCAGAACAGGCAATTAGAAATTCAGAGTCCAGAGTGCTAACCAATACACCCTGCAACCATTGCGGCACTATAAATTCAAACTCTAGATCAACTCTGAAAGCTATTGATGTTCCACACCCTGCAGGACCAAATATCCCGTCCAACTTCAGTTCTTTCTGTAAGAACCAACAAGCACACTGATCTCATTAGTATGCAAATTTGCTTCTAGTAAATAAAAACAACCTATGCATACCAAAGAAGCGTTTTAAATAAATTGCTTAGACATGTCATTGTTTCCTGTAACTCCAGTTCCACGGGGTCCTAAACCTTCCAGCTTCTATGGGCACATGCATGCAAGTGCTCAGACACACGCACATACACATACATGATAAAATAAATTAAAATAAATTCTTTCTGAACTCTTATGAGTAAATGTTTGACTTGTGTGTGTGTTTATACATCTCTATGCCTGAGAGTACCTGAATAAAAATTATGCCTGAATAAAAATTTCTCAGACCAAAAGTGGAGAAAGTTTCAAAGCCCTGCTTTAAACAATAACCCAAAGTGGGGCTGGAGAAATAGTTAAACGTCCTTGCTTTGAAATCCTGAGGACCACAGTTTGAATCCTAGTACCCACATGACAAGTCAGGCATCCAACACACACACCTGGAACCCCAACTCAGACACAAGCAGAGACAGGAGGACCACAGAGTTTGCTGACTTCTAGCCCAGCAAAACAAAACAAAACAAAACAGGACCCCCAGGTTGAGGGGCAGACCCTGTCTCTGCCTCACAGGAACAGGTAGACAGTAATAGAACACATCTGATCATGCCCTCTCCTGACCTCCTGACCTCTGTCTGCACATAGACACATGCATCTGAACACACAGGCATACATACGCTCATACACACACACACACAATAAAAACAAATCTTTTTTTAATTAATGACACAAAGCAGCTGTACACATTTCTGGGATACAGGTAACCTTTGATACACATATACAGTGCACAATGACCAGATATGAGCAATTGGCACATCTATCGCCTAAACACCCACCATTTTTCTTAGTGTTGGGAAAATGCCACACTTTCTGGTGTGTGTTTATGTGTGAATATGGTATATATGTGTGTGGTGTGTGTGTGCACATGTAGGCCAGAAGAGAGCAAATTGTGCCTTCCTCTATCACTCTTGACTTTATTCTTTTGAGGTACGTAGAGCTCTGACTACAGAGATGAGAAGTAGGCTCCTCATGGAGCCTCCGTGCAGGGTGAAACTGGCTACCTGCCAGCTTCAGAAGGCAGAGCCCTGCTCACAACCACTGGTCTCCAGGGCACCTTCCCCACACCACCAGCTGACACGCAGAAGGGGTAACTTAAAGTGGGTATCGAGAGGAGCTGACATACGTGGGATTCGGACCATGGTATCAGATGCAGCTCTTGCCTGATACAGGATACAGATCACACAGTCAGGGAGGTAAGGGAAAGAGGGAGCAGGGCAGGAGGAGCAGGCTCCATCCTTCACATTTTTGGGGGATGGGACAAAGAAAGGAAGGGGGCTTGTGAATCTGTGAGTTGAGCCGCTTGCCATCTTCCCTCCCTGACGTGATGCCTTAGATCCTCCACTGCCACACGGGAGCCACAGTCTCAACCTGTGGGAGACAACCCCTTTAGGGATCAAGCAACCCTTTCAAGGGGATCACCTAAGACCATCGGAAAACACAGATATTTACATTACAATTCATAACGGTAGCAAAATTACAGTTATGAAGTAGCAATGAAAAAAGTTTATGCTTAGGGGTCACCACTACATGCAAAACTGTGTTAAAGGGTCTCAGCATTAGGAAGATTGAGAACCACTTCTCTGGAGACTCTGACCTTCTGCTGTCCCCTCTTGGTGGTTCAGGGCAACTGTGAGTTCCAAGGTCCCCCCACCTGTGGGTTTAGGTCCTCCACCTTGACTGTCCCTGTCCATTCCTCTGGCCTACTCCAAGCCGTGTCCCTGTCCAACTCAGCCCTGATGTGGAAGTCCCAGGATGGGGGAAGCTGCCCAGAGGCTGTCAGTCTGGCTGTTATTGTCCAGATCTCGGCTGCCACTTATCTGGGCCGCCCACATGGGGAAATGAGATAGTCCAACATCACTTTTCCCATTAATATTCTTATCTCCACTGGAAAGGATGCTGTTTGTGTGTAGTGACATGTGGGTGTGAGCTTACAAACCCCCGGGTCTCTCTCTCCATCCTCTGACTTCTGGCCATAGGGATGGGTATCTGAGACACTGTGTAACTTGGACACAGAGTGTGAACATATGAAGTATGTCTGTGTGATGCATTGCAGAGAAGTAGATGGGAAGCAGGGAGGTGAAGGTAGACGGATGGTGGGGGGCAGGCATGCTTGAGTCCATGTGTCTGGACCACACTAAAGAAAGAAAAGAGCAATCAGAGGGTGAACCTGTTAAAAGAGCTAACTAATTCTGGTTGAGAGGATTAAAAAGCCGGGTCATTTCATTCATTGATCATAAAGAGTGTGTTAGCCTAGTCCTCTGGAGGGGCCACTTCTAGGCACAGAATAAAAAGGCTAAATGTGTCTTCTCGTCACTGGAAAGTCTACCTTACCTGTTTCCCCAAGAGAAAAACCTTTGTGTACAGACAAGAGATAAACCTGAGAAGTATCATTACAGAATTATTCATAGTAGCAAAAGTTACAAACAAGCTAAATGTCACTTGGCAGAGTGATTAAATATACTAGAGTATAATAAACCAGGTCTGTGCATTGCTGTGTAACAGTCAGGAATAAAAATATCTTTTTATATGGATTATGAATATCATTATGGGTTATGCATATCATTGTGAATCATGAATATCATTTAGCTTCCGGTCTGCTGCTGTGGTAAAACATTTGGATCAAAAGCAACCTGGGGAGCCCTCTGCCTGTCGCAGTAGCCATTCAGGTTGTCTCGTGGGTGTGTCCTCAGATTTAAACCACCACCACGTCGAGCAAAAAGGCCAAGGCCAAGACCACCAAGAAGCGCCCTCAGCACGCAACATCCAATGTGTTCGCCGTGTTTGACCAGTCCCAGATCCAAGAGTTCAAAGAGGCCTTCAACATGATCGACCAGAACCGGGATGGCTTCATCGACAAGGACGACTTGCATGACATGCTGGCTTCTCTAGGCAAGAATCCCACCGACGCCTACCTGGATGCCATGATGAATGAGGCCGCGGGCCCCATCAATTTCACCATGTTCCTCGCCATGTTTGGAAAGAAGTTGAATGGCACAGATCCCGAGGATGTCATCAGAAACGCCTTCGCCTGCTTTGATGAGGAAGCAACAGGCACCATCCAGGAGAATTACCTGAGGGAGCTGCTGACAATGGTGGGCGACCGCCTCGCAGATGAGGAAGTGGATGAGCTCTACAGGGAGGCCCCCATTGACAAGAAGGGCAGTTTCAACTACATCCAGTTCACGCGCATCCTCAAGCACGGAGCAAAAGACAAAGACAACTGAAGAACTCCAGCGGGAGCTCCTGTCACGTGACCCGACTCACTTCCTTTTCAGCTCCTTCCCCCACCTGTAGGACCTTCTGCACGCCACTTAGTTCACAGCTTTGCCTCTTTTGTAATGTATTCATTTCAGACTCTTCTGTCATTTAGCGCTTGTATAATCAGACTGGAAATGGGGACAGTGCTGTAAATTGTATTGAAAATGCCATGCGAATAAAAATCAACAATGTGAAAGCCCAGAAAAAAAAAAAAAAGCAACCTGGGGAAAGAAGGAATTTATCTGGCTTATACTTCCAGGTCTCAGGCCGTTGTGGAAGGAAGTTAGGACAGGAACTCAAACAGGAACAGGAAGCAGAAACCACAAAGGAACGCTGCTTATGGATTTATTTGGTCTTACATTTAGTTAGCTTTCTTATGTAGCCCAGGATGACTTGCCCAAGGAATGATGCCGCCCACGGTGGGCTGGACTGTCTCACATCAATTGGCAATCAATACACTCTCCCACAGCATGTCTGCCCACAGGTCAATCTAAGCTAAGCAGTCCATCAGTTGAGTTTCTCCTCTCAAATGACTCTAGGTTGTGCCAAGTTGATGATTAAAGACAACTCTAACACCATATACAGACCCCAATGTCAGGGAACATAGATCTCTGGAAGGCTCACACAGCAAAATGGCAGGACTGGAATAAAGGTGAAGGAAGTGTCTTTTGGGGCTGGAGAGATGGCTCAGCAGTTAAGAGCATTGCCTGCTCTTCCAAAGGTCCTGAGTTCAATTCCCGGCAACCACATGGTGGCTCACAACCATCTGTAATGAGATCTGGCGCCCTCTTCTGGCCTGCGGGCACACATGGAGGCAGAATTTGTATACACGATAGATAAGTAAATAAATAAATCTTAAGGAAAAAAAAAAAGAAGTATCTTTTGCATTAGACACACGACCTGAGTTGTTCTGTAATGAAAGTAAGTTTCTCTATTACTTGTGGAATTATAAAAAGAAATCACAGTATTGTAATTCATTAGCTTTGGAGCTGAGGATTCAAACACAATCAAAAATGTAGAAGTCTTACTTTTGGTGGCAAATGTGTTAGAGGTGAGAAAGGAGGCAAAGCACAGAGATGAGGCGGTCAAGACTGAGCCAAGTGATACCAGGTCTACCTAGCACACATGGTAGAGAGGGGTTTACTGAAAAGCAACCGCCCCAGCAGAGTTAAATCCAGAAAAGAGTTGAATTAGGGCTAACCTTTTAATTTGTAATTTTCTTCACTCTATTCACCTGAGGCAGGGTCTCCATTGAGCCTGAAGCTAGGCCCGTGGCCAGCAAGCTCCAACAACCCTCCCTTCTCTGCCCACTGCAACACTGAGGCCACAGACACGTGGACAGGCCTGACTTTCTAAGTGGGTTCTGGGGATTTGAACTCTGGTCCTCATGCTTGTACAACCAGACCTTTTACCTGTCTAGCTATCTCCTCAGCCCCAATTTCCCCCTTTTTAAGGCAAAGCAATGCTTTTTAAGTTTATGTATGTATCACACTTGTCTGTGAGTTCATCCCTGGATGGACTTCTGAGTTGCTCGAGACCAGCATTTAACATGGGAGACTTTTGTCCCATTTAAAGCCCTAAACAAAGCCTCCCTCAGCAGTGGGTTTTTTCAAGGAAGCTCCATCCACTGAGCATTTCACCTTTCAAGGGCCTTAACTTATGCGAGCCCTTGGACCCAGCTACTATCTTCTACGAATCATCACCCCACTATACACACTGTGAGATGCAATAGCTTCTGGACAGCAGGATCTACTTCCTGGTCAACAGGATCTACTTCCTGGTGCTCAAAATTTGTCCAGCCCAATGTCCAGCCACCGAAACCAACTCATTCTTAACACTGTCATTCAGTTCTCTCTCTATACCTGGAACCTCAGGATTCTCATCTTGCTTTGAAATCAGCAATTGAAGGCTATTTTTAAAATCCCAAGACACAACCCAAAACAATCACTTTCAAACCTATAGCACAGGTTTTTTATTTTGTTGTTGTTGTTGTTGTTGTTGTTTGGGTTTTTGAGACAGCATTTCTCTGTGTAACCTTGGCTGTCCTGGAACTTGCTCTGTAGACCAGGCTGGCCTCCAACTCACAGAGATCTATCCCTCTGTCTCTGCCTCCCAAGTGCTCGGATTAAAGGCATGTGCCACCACCACCCAGCTACACTTTTAAAATGTATAGAAACAACCTAAATGAAATACACATGTAATGTTAATAAAAGTGCAGGGTGTGCCTGGAAATGTTTTCTCTAAAATATTCTGAACCTGTTCCAGAATGGCTTTGCAAGGTGTCTCTGAACTGAGGCCACACAATGGGAGAGTGAGGTGCCAGGTGCGCGACCATGTCTGCCGCTGTAACCTTGACCTAATGTGATCCTCTCGGCAACCTCCTCTGTCTCCTGTGAGTTCTTCCTTCAAGTCCAGAGTCCACGCTGTCTATGTTCTGACGGTTCCTGCCAAATCCTCCCAGGGAAAAGGACTGTGGTTTGCAACAGCAGATAAATGAATCTGTCACATATGTCTTCCTATTGTCACCTCTGCTGAAGGACACCATTCTTCTCTAGGCCACACAGGAGTTTGAGGGCTGCTCAGAAAGTCTGGGAATGACAACCGTTGCCAGTAAGCATGAAGTACTTCTGCTATTAACCCAGTTGCTGCAGGAGCCCAGGTAGCACATTGTACATTCTTGTGAGTGGTGTTGGTTTTTAGATTTATTTCATTTTTATGTGTATATGTGAGCATCTCTGTGTATGTATGTGTATCACATGTGTACCTGATGCCGAGAGCAGTCAGAAGTTATCTGATCCCCTGGAACTAGAGTTACAGACAGTTGTGGGCTATCTATCATGTAAGGTCTGGGAATGGAACCAAGGGCTTCTGCAAGAGCAGAAAGCGCTTTTTAACTGCTGAGTCATCTCCCCAGCCCTCTACGTGGTTGCTATTGGTTACCCTTACATGGAAGTAGGTACATAACACGTGATGACGCAGAATCTCATATAGCATAAATAGAGAGAGTTATGCTGCATAATCTGATTACTACTGCTAACATGACAGGCTATTCTAAACACAAAGACAAGCACATAAAACTGGGTCCCAATATGAGCACCTGTAAGTTTTAAGAGGTGTTACTATTTCGCCACGCTGCCTTTAGACACCTGCAGAGAAAAAGCAAATTGTTACAGTACCGTAGAACCTTTGTCGAAACCTCTATTCCAACCCAGACAGACGAGCCTGCCATCGGGAGGCTGTGTTCATCATTTAAAGTGATTCTGAGAGCTATTTCTGCACATATGCTTATAAATAGCAGACAGAGCCACACAAGCTCACATTTTTCACATAAGTTAGATTGCATTGGAATGGTACAGGCACCTGTGCAGTACCTGAACAGTCCACTAGATGGCACTAGAGTTTCTACTAGCGAGGAATTTTTAATTTTTTTTTTTATTATTTATTTTTTGTTAGCAGTTAGCTATGTTTTGCAGATTGAAGACAACCTGCAGAACATAAGGGCCTCCGTTTTCCGTTCTGGAATGATTACCTGGAATCATTTCTTCCTATTCTTTCCCTAGGCAGAAGGCTCAGTGGACAGGGACACTGAGCAGAGGTATGGGGGACTAGAATGCCCAGGTTCAAGTTGCTCAAGTCAAAGTGTGACCTTGAGGCCCTTCTCTAAGGACAGGCTGGCTCAGGGGCAAAGCATCCTCTCACAGTACCTCTGACTCCTGTCACACGATGGTGGTTCCCTCCTGACTGTTCCGAACAGACAAGCAGGAGGCCAAAGACTCAGAGTCAGAGAACAGAGACACTGGAACTCCCAGAGCTGTGTGGGTTGTGATCAAGTTCGGCTTCTCCTGAAGATTAGCCCCCGCCCCCAAGTTCACAGTAGCTAGGACACAAGCATCCACTCCTAGCCCTACCCACGAAAATAGCCAACTGATAGGGTAAAATGGAGGAAATAGAACAGCCACTCTGATGACCCTCCAGAACGCCTGGTGGCCATTGTCTACCATTACATACCCCCCCTCCTGATGTCCGGGCCTGAGGTAGGGGTGTGGACCCACACACAGATCCTGGGGTTTCTGGAAATCTCAGGTTCCCAACAGCTATGCCAGAGGTTTAGAGACCTGGCTGTCCCACACTACCTCCTCTCCTGGCCCCTTTCTGACCTGACCTCTCTCTGGCCTCCGGGCCTGAGAAGGCCTGGAGAGGCCGTGGGACTTTAGCTGCCATTATCTGGCCCTTATCACCAGTAAGTTCAGGCTGACACGGAGACCTCTTAGTTCAATGACGAGGGGCCCACCCGAGGTCATTCCTGTCTCCAGAGAGCCGGAGCCCTATCTCAGCGACCTACGGAAACCTTGGCATGAGCTCATGGTTTCTGACGACAGAGAGGGTCCCTACCCTATCACTGCCCAGACACCCTCCCCCACCTCGCCCCCCCCCCCCCCCCCCCCCCCCCCCCCCCCCCCCCCCCCCCCCCCCCNCCCCCCCCCCCCCCCCCCCCCCCCCCCCCCCCCCCCCCCCCCCCCCCCCCCCCCCCCCCGCCATCCCCTGGCGTCTGACTTGAGCCTGGTAAAGGCTCCACCGTTCCTCACTGAAATAGCAACACTGATAACCGCAGCAGACAGAAGTACACCGACGAATCTCCATTCAGAAAAGCACTGCTCCCTCCTCCCTCTGCCTTGGTGCAGTCCTCCCTCCCGGGATGGGCGTGAGCACACAGGCTGAGTCCATTCCCTGCATAGTCACATGAAGACTGAATGTCCATAGCCCTGCAGAAGCCAGGCTAAAGCGCACTTCTTCTCACGCGGGAAAATAGTGCCCCTGGATGCCAACCCCCCACGCACCAAGGGTGCTGGTAAGACGGACCGTGCCTGGATTGGTGCAGTAAACAGAGCCCCGGAGTGGGGGGCGGTTCATGGAATCCCTTGTGTAAGCACCTCAGCACCCCAAACAACTGTAAAGCCATCCTCTTCGAGGCAGTTTCATCTTTTGGGGTACAAACTTATCATTCCTGTGTCAAGCCCATTCGACTTGAAAACCTACTTACCGAAATTCTTTCGGACCCAAGATGAAAACCACTTTCCTTCGAAGAGAATTCTGTTCTCGGGGATGCCTCTCCAGAACTGCCTTAAACCAAGTTCAAAACTTCAGGCTCCTTGACCACCCACCCCTGGGAAACTGGCACACCCCTGGTTTAACCTGACTGGAGGGTGGAACTCTTCGGGACACCTGCAGAGTGTGGGGAAGTTTTTTCTGTTCAGCTTCTTGACCAACTTGAGCTCAGATTTATTTCTGCCTCCCACTCTCCGTGAGGCTTTCAAAACAAAAATCCAATTGGCTAGAGACGACAAATGTCTTCCAGGCAAAAGTGGCTTCGGGACTCTTCTGGTATCTCTAGGGACCTGTTGAGTCTGGGGTTTGGGCCTAATTTGGTCCTTGTTAGTGACTATTATCAAACATTTGAGAGAATGTTCTTAGTCTAAAATTCGTGCTCAGCCTCTCCCACAAGGGCCTCCTCTGAGGCTCGGTTAGGGTGGGACCTGCTTCCGGAGTCACCAG